TCCACATGGTTGTTAAAAAAATGTGAAGGAACTCATTGCACCATTGCAACTTGTTGCCATGTTGAAAGATTCTCGCCCATGCGCTAATCATCCAACAGGAGGCTCCTACCCATTTGCTAAGTTCAGGTGGCTTTTTGGCAGTGCGGTGTGTATTTCAACATTTATTGTCTACTCGCAGAACATGACCTTTTGACTTGTCGATGACGATCCTCACAGTCCTTCTCATCTTTGTCCTGGACGATGCATGTCGATTCCTTTCAGAGGAAACTTTTTTAACCACAGTTACAAATAAAAAGTAAAAAAAAATGATTGGACCAAATATTAAATATTTTGTCAGACCTTGATTTAGGAATTTTATAATTAAGGGTGACCATTTCTGTTTTTACAAAGCAGACTTTGCTCTGGAAAAATCTTTAAGTCATATTTCAGGGCAGCAGGTTTACAAGGATACAGATAAAAGATATTGTAATCGAAAATCCTTCAACTTCCTCCCTTTGGACAGGATCATAAAACTTGTTACAAAATGAGAATTCTCTGTAACGTCTCACTGTTGTTCAGTGTTTCCTCATAACGCGACAACACACCCAGTCTTCTTGAGCACTAAAGTTTTGACTGTCCCTCTGAAATAATCCTCACACACAACTGCCACCACTTTTCATCAGGCCCGGAGGGAGCTGCGTCAGCTGAAGGAGGAGGCGAGGAATAAACATGCCGTGTCGGTCATTTGGGCCGGCTGGCAGGGCACGAAGGTATTTGGGAAGCCTGTTGACTTGCCGTGACTTGCCGCCTCCTTTTTGACTCCCATTCCCACCTCATCATTCCAGAAACATCCCTTGTGATGTCAGTCAGCCCGCTCAAGTCATTCCAAACATTTGTTTAATGATGTAAGGCTCTTAACGGAACATCTTATCATCCAGTTGATGAGGAGAGATGTCAAGATGGAGCCACAGTTTCAGCTCTAAGTTGTATTACAATGATGAGACGTGCGATTTAGGGATTTATTTTTTCCCCCAACTCCGGCCGTTTCTTCTTTTTTTGACCACTGCATGCTGCCTGTTCTCTCTGCACGGTTTCCTCTTATTGTGTGGCTAATGCATGTTTAGTCTCTGCATCACAACAATGCTTCTCTTTTAGACAAACTCCTTGAATACATTCTGAGTTTGTTCTGCTGCCTTCGTTGTGACTTTTGCTTCCTTTACTCGGAGGGATAGAAAGCAAAAGCATGAACGTTGTTTCCCCCTCTCAGAACGTCCATCTGACCAGTTCCAGATTTATTTCTAGATGCTGGAGACGTACAGCGATCCTCTAACAGTCTGTCAAAGGTCACAAAAAGGCTTGTGTGCTGTGTTTGATATGCCTGACCTTTGGTTCGTCTTAATCTTCCACTGCTTCATTTGTTCCTGCTCTGTTTGTTCCCGCTCACCTCCCAAACAGGCCCGCAGGGAGCTCAGGAGACTGAAGGAGGAGGCCAGGCGTAACCATGCTGTCGCTGTGATTTGGGCCTTCTGGCAGGGACTCAAGGTACCCACCAGCCCCATGGCGCAGCCCCCAACTTGGCCTTCACCATGTGTGCCCACCAGCTCCACAACACAAACCCTCTTTATCCCCTTTTCTCTTCTTTAACCTCCTCCCTTTGTTTCGACCACCTCTTTGGTCTTGCATCAATTAAAACTGTTTTTAGGGTTTTTTCCGACATGACAAGAGTCTTGTTAATGAGTAACTTGATTTCTAAAATCAAAACTCTTGAGAAATGTGCTTTTATTGACTAATTTATGCAATAATTTTGCTATTTAGATTTTTGGCCTTTCACTTGAAGGTGAAACTAAAAAATTCGAATACCATACAAAAGTTTATTTCAGTAAATTAACTTAAAGGTACAAAATGTAAGAATTTGGTATTAAAATAATCACAAACAGAATGACGACTAACTCATGTTGGAAGGAAGGTTATATTGAAAGAGATTTCCTTCTGGTTGGGGGGTTGTCAAGTTTTCTCGTTTTCAAAAAAGCTAAAGTAGTCCTTGTTTGTGGGTTGCGGAGTCTACGCCGAGCTAGCGCTGCTGCATCGGCATTTGTAACTTATCACCAGCTGCCAAAACTCAGCAGTGTTTTGTAAAGATCCTAAACCAGTAAACGGGAGGAACCCAGAAGTGTTTTCTTGTACCCCTAAGAAGCCATGGCATCTTTTTATTTTACTCAAATATCAGGTAAAGAAGGCTAGAGGCTAACGTTGAGCTAACAATGCTAACAGGGAGGTAGAAGCAAATGGTCGGCTCTAAAATTATCTCAGGCTACTTTTTTTTTTCAATTATCAACAACTCGATATTACTATGAAATATATTTATATCAACTTACTGTGTCGTGCTCGTCTTCTAGAATCTTCTGGCGCTGAGCCGTGACAGGCTGCAGCCACGAAACTCACGGAACGGTAGAGAAAAGTCACTCGTTTTGTTAGGAAAATGTGCTGCAGTAACCAAATTTGACTAGAGGATGTCATTCTTACGTCATTCTTACGTAATGCACATTTAACATTTAACCCCTTTCTCGCAAATTTGCATCAAACCTGCATTTGCTCCAAATGCAACCGAAACATGCCTGAAAGATAATCCACCAGTGGGGGGAAAAAAAGTTATAGTAAAAAACAAATTCAGGCGTTAAGGAGTTAAAATGTGAAACTAATGCATGAGAGACTCGTTACATTTCAAGCCTGTCTAACAGTTGATGTTCATGACTTAAAGCTTATGAAACCCCTAAATTCAAAATCTAAGACTATTAGAATATTGTGAAAAGGTTAAATATTTTAGGCTCTGCGTTGCACTGTGATGAGCTAATGAGTCAAACACACCTGCAAAGGGTTCCTGGGCCTTTAGATGGTCTCTCAGTTTAAGCTGTATTACTGAAATAAATGTGCTTTTAAACCATAATATAGTATTTTATAGGGATGTGTATTGGTGAAATTCTGCCGATACAATACGTATTACGATACAGGGGAGACGATACAATATATCACGATATATTACGATACATTCAGTCAGACGATATTGGCGATTTTTTTTAGACTAAATTTATTATAGGAAAATTCAATAAACAGTCCAAACTGATACTTAACATGTTTAACCATAACAGAGGGATTTACATTTCAATGGTAGAAACAAAACCCATTACACACTGCCGCCAACTAGTGGTCGGCTTTTGAATTGCACCACAAGAAAAGAAAATACACAAATGTTCCACAGGGAAATTCTTCCAATAATTAGATACACGACTTTTGAATATCGATACATTTTTGCAAGAAAAAATATCACGATATATTGCGATATCGATATTTTTGATACACAGCTTTTGAATATCGATATTATATCGCTGGGGAAAATATCACGATATATTGCCATAATCGATATTTTCTCACATCCCTAGTATTTTACTTCACCTGTATTCTAATCTGTAGTTTTACACATAATGCATGACTTTAGATATCCCATTTCCTATTCCTTTATATTAGATTTGCTTGACACAGTGCATTCGCTGTATGAACCCATTCATCAGTTCTCAGTGATTTTTTTTATTATATCATTTTAAACAGCTAATGTAAAAGGTGAACTCTCTCATAGCAACGTTATTTTTTTAGGGCTGAGCGCGAGAAACTGTTCATTTTTCTGCATGCAGCCAACTAAAACCATTATTTGTCTAAAATTTGTTTCTGTTTGCGTCCTCTGATGCTTTCCAACTAACCCTACATGTTTGTGTATCCCACAATGTTTGTTTAATTCATTCACTGCAGTGTGCATCCCCCTTCCTCTTTTTTTTGTGTTTGTTCAAGGTGGTTTTTTAAATTTTTTTTTTATTATTTATTTGAGTTTTGGAAGCAAAACGTCAATGCTGTCATTACAGAGTTAATCCTTTTCATTAGGATAAGTGACCGCCGCGTGCCTGGCGACACACCTGTTTACGAGTCTTTGTACGGTGAAGGGCAGCGTAAAGGTTGTTTGTCATAACCATTAACACCTTTTCAGTAATTGCTTTGGCGCAGTCGTAATTCCAGCAGATTGAAGTTCTGTTCCAGTATTTTTTTTTTGTGTTGTCACTAACAATGTCTTTTTTTTTGTGTTTTGAGTGTGAAGTTTGCTTCATCCTTCGTTCAGTGTGTTCACTTCTGTTTCACTACATGGCAACTTTTAAGAAGGGGGGTCTAGAAAGGATTAAAGGGTTATTTATTGTGTCCTTGTGCTCAAACAGGTCCGCAGAGAGTACAGGAAGTTCTTCAGGGCAAACGCAGGCAAGAAGATCTATAACTTTACCATCCAAAGGATCGTAAGTGGAAGTTTGATGATCGGAACATTGTGTACTGTTACCAGAGATGAAATGCATTGAAAGTAAATTTAAAATCTGTTTGTGACCAGATGCAAAAATACTTCGTTGGCTTGAAGAACAACATGCCCTCCATGTCCCCCGTAGACAAGAGCTGGCCTGCTAGGCCTTACTTGTTCCTGGATGGAGCCCACGCTGCGCTCAGGAGGATTTTTCATCTGTGGAGGGTTCGTCTGTCACATTACGCCACATTACGCCGGCTGAAATCAGCTCCTTTCTCCTTCTACACTGTCGATGTGAACGTTCTCTGCTGCGCACATGGTGTGGGCTAAAGTGTAGCGGAATCGGTCGGCGTTTTCGACTCGTCAACTCTTGTAACTGTAATCTCGTCACACATTTTTCTGATGCACCAAGAACAGAGCGTCTTCACACAGAGGACCTGAGAAGAGAAATAATGGGCTGCATGTGCTAGAAAAAGTACAGTATTTCCTGTCGGTGGGTCTTCATTTTGACTTCTCTTGTGATGTGACTAGTGCAAGAAATACAGAAGCCAATTCACGGAGGAGAAAAAGGCGGTGTACGAGGAGAAGCTGGAGGCAAGCGAACTCTTCAAGGATAAAAAGGCTCTCTACCCCAGCAGGTATTTAAAATTCACATATTTTTTTAATCCTCTCGATGCATACAGTATGAAAACATGTCCCTGTCTAATTCAACAGTAGATGGAAAGGTTCAAAACATTGTGTTCCATGTGATGTCTTTGTCTTCTTCCTCAGTGTGAGTCAGCCTTTCAAGGGAGACTACCTGGAGATCAACAAAAACCCCAAATTTCAGAAGCTCAATAGCGCTTTGGATGACAAGGTTCTGTTGGCTGATGTGGTCAGCAAGATCAACAGGGCAAACGGAAAGGTAGGAAATGAATAATTTAGGATGTAAGAGTCTAAAATATTTAAGCTCTTAGTCCTAATGTGACTCAGTGCATTCACAGATTTCAGAGCTGCTTATTTCATCCAGCTGTAAAGTTATCTGTTCACGTATTTTTGCTCCATAAGGGAGGTTTATATATGACTGCTGGATGCATTAGACCTTAATATTAACTTGCACCTTGGCGTGTGAAGCCGGCATGCTTTAGATGGACATCGATGGATTTAAAACAAAAATTCACAACTTTTATGGACAGGATTTCTAGGCACAGCCAAGGTGGTGAGGGCATCCGTTTTGGTGACCTGAGGATCAGGTCTCTGACTTTTGCAGATGATGTGGTCCTGTTGTTCATCGGATCGTGATCTGCGGCGTTGCTGAAGTGGTCTACAGCTGAGTGTGAAGCAGCTGGGATGAGAATCAGCTCCTCGAAGTCTGAGACCTTGGTCTTGAGTCGGGGAAAGGGTAGAATGCCTTCTCCGGGTCAGGGATGAGGTCCTGCTTCAAGTTGAGGAGTTTAGGTATCTCGGAGTCTTGTTCACAAGTGAGGGTGGGATTGATGAGCGGGTTGGTGCTGCGTCTGCAGTGATGCAGGTGCTGTACCGATCTGTTGTGGTGAAGAGAGCTGAAGGCAAATCTCTCGATTTACCGGTTGATCTACATTCCAACCCTCACCCGTGGTCACGAGCTTTGGGTACGGACCAAAAGAATGAGATCCCAGATGGAAGCAGCCAAAATGAATTTTCTCCGCAGGGTGTCTGGGTGAGATATCTGGTTAGGATGCCTACTGGACGACTCCCTTTTGAGGTTTTTCACTCACATCCAACCAAGAGGAGACCCAAAGGAAGACCCAGGACATGCTGTAGAGACTCTCTCGGCTGGCCAGGGACACCTTAGGATTCTCCCGGAGGAGCTGGCCCAAGTAGCTGGGGAGAACAAAGGACCTCCCTGCTTAGGCTGCTGACCTCACGAGAATGGATGCATGGAAACAAAATGTATGGTAGACATCACATTTGATCTTTTCCGTTCTACTTTCTGCAGGGTTCAGCTCGAATCTTCCTGCTCACCAAGAAAAGCGTCGTTCTGGCTGACCAGAAAACGGGCCAAGTGAAGGCCAGTGTTGTCCTGTCGGACCTCGCCAGCGTTTCTGTCAGCACACAAACCGACGGCTTCTTTGCTCTCAGACTCAAAGAGGTAAGTTCAGCAGTTTCGACTCGCTTCTTGGATTGATTTGGCGTTGGAATGGTGTGTGTGTGTGTGTGTGTGTGTGTGTGTGTGTGTGTGTGTGTGTGTGTGTGTGTGTGTGTGTGTGTGTGTGTGTGTGTGTGTGTGTGTGTGTGTGTGTGTGTGTGTCTGTGTGTGTGTGTGTGTCTGTGTGTCTGTGTGTCTGTGTGTCTGTGTGTCTGTGTGTCTGTGTGTCTGTCTGTGTGTCTGTGTGTCTGTCTGTGTGTCTGTCTGTCTGTGTGTCTGTCTGTCTGTCTGTCTGTCTGTGTGTCTGTCTGTCTGTCTGTCTGTCTGTCTGTCTGTCTGTCTGTCTGTCTGTCTGTCTGTCTGTCTGTCTGTCTGTCTGTCTGTCTGCTCGCTCGCTCGCTCGCTCCATCCCCAGTGAGTCGTGGAGGATGGCTGCTTATACTGAGCCAGGATTCTCTGGAGGTTTCTTCCTGTTAAAAGGGAGTTTTCCTCTCCACTGTCGCTGCATGCTTGCTTAGTATTAGGATTGCTGTATAGTCACTGACACACTAGTCAGTGACTTGATGCAATTTGCTGGGTTCCTTATATAGGAAACATTATTTCTGATTGGCTTAATGAACTGACCTGAATTGGAATGTTTATTATGTGAAGTGCCTTGAGACGACTCTTGTCGTGATTTGGCGCTATATAAATAAACTTGAATTGAATTGAATCAGTTTTTGGTAATCTCAAAGTAAATGCTCGGCTGAGATGCATAATTTACTAAAGTTTGAGTGTAATTTTATTATTTTTTTCTTTTAACTCCAACAGGGCACAGCTTCAGCTGTCAAAGGCGATTTCTTGCTCAGCAGCGAGCACCTGATTGAAATAATCACCAAACTTCACCGTGTCGGCGCTGCGAATGCAGACAAAGAAAAGATCAATGTTGACATCTCAGATGAGTAAGAGGAATCAAAGTTTTCTTGTTAGAGATTCTCCGTGATGTGTGCCCTCGCTGACGTTTCCTGTGTTGCAGATTTCTGGTGCAGTTCAAACATGACAAAGTGTGCGTGAAGTTCATCCAAGGAAGCCCCAAGAATGGCAACAATGCATCCTGCAAACGCAAAAACAACCGCCTGTTGGAGGTGTCGGTACCCAACACACCATCTACACCATCAACGCCGTAGCATTGCTTCCCCCTCTGCTCCTGCCGACGTTCACAACTGCTCAACCTGCAGGGAAACCAACTCCAACGCTCTGAACTCAAACTTCACAGCACTGGTGCCAACCAGGAACCCAAACTTCTGCATTTATTTGGCCTGTTGTAATGTTCTCATCTGGTTTTTGTTATGGCGTCACTATAGTTGCACCAATGGGCCACAGCTTTTGTTTTTTGGGCAAAGAAAGCCCCAATGTGGGTTGCATGCCGCAAAAATGTGTTGTGATACCAGTGCACAAAAGACTTCCATATACCAGTGGTGGTATTGCTAATTATGAAGTTAGTTTGCAGAGAAAATGTCGGCAGAACTTCTTGAAGAGCTCTAGCCTTTAAAGTATAAACTTGTCTGCTTTTAAGCCACCAACTTCAGCGACGTGGCTTAAAATTTGAGATGAGTTCAGACGGGATTAGGGCGGAGCCTGTCGTGGTTGGTTGTGACGAACTTGAAAACTGCATTTGCTTTCACCTCTTTAACAGACTGATGATGAACGGAGTACTTAACTGATTGTATGTCTTTTTTTAATTTAAGCACAGTGGGCAGTTGTGGGAAAGCTGAAGTTAAATGTAGTTTGCTTGATTGTTCTAAAACATGTTTGTATCTATTCCTATGTGCCATTAAAACGGGTCACTGTTTTGTGATCGTCCTGTTCATAAGCAGTTATTCACAACAAAAGCCAAATATTTTTAGAATAACAAATCTAATATCCCAGTGGGAGTTTGTTTTGATTGCTTTTGGTATGTGATCGGTGCACATTTCCTAAAAGCAGTTTGTATTAAATGTCAAGCGTCCACGGTAATTGTTATAAATGACGACGGGTGAATTAAAGAGCTGTTGACAAAATCAAAGTTCAGGTGATTGCGATGCTCAATTACTACAAAGTCCTGATCAGTTTCAAAAGTTTTTCCTTACTGAAGGAGAAAGTGGTGGGAGTGAGATTTTTGTGTGCAATATTGTCCTAGACGATTTTCTGATGGGTGGTTGTGAGACCTGCGCAGGTTCCACATCCTGTGCCGTAAGCTGTAAATAAGCTCCGTGTGCTGTAGCCGCAACACAAACTAAAGTTCTACCGCCCTCATTTTCATGTTTGTAAAAAAAAAAAAGTAATATTTTTGACACTTCAGCTTCACTTATTGTAACGATTGACCCACTATGATCTAAAACATTCTACAAGGTAAAAAGGCCAAATGTTGAGAGCATGTGACGTTAGCATCTTGATTTTTTTGAAGACATTTTGAGGATTTTTACACTTTATTTAAAAATCGGGTATATATTTACAATGAAGCCAAAACTGAATATCAGAGGGATATTGTTGTTGACAAGACATATTTGAATGTCCAGGTAGAAACTTTTGTACGTCTGATGACTGTGAGGGGCTAATGGAACCAAATTTTGTGGAGTTGAGGTTTGCGATCTGAGTCTGTAAATGATTAAACATTTTGACGTAACCCTGAGGGAGTTACTGACGAGAATGATGAAGCTGGAAGAGTTGGTCCAGCTTCAATTGGAAGACTTCCTTCCCTGCTCTTCATTCCCTGCTTTGTATTTGAACTCGGATGATGTCTGCGATCTTGTGTGCCTCAGTGTTGGGCCAGAACGTGGAAATGTTTCAGTAGAGTTCGTTGTAACATTTACAAGTATTCTTTTTAAATTAAATAAAAATCAGTAAATGGTATTCTGTGTTGTTGGACAAGTTTTCATTTTTGGTGTTCTAATGGAATCTACATCATTAAACCTTGATTGCTATTTATCGGCATCAGCAGGGGAATTGTGTGGACGCTTTGGAGGTCGGCCAGCCAATCCATGTAGTCCAGCAGCTGGCCAGATGTTTTCCATCACATCTGGGGGGGTGGGGGGTCCCAGGGTTAAATTCCACGGCTTTGGGAGAGCTGCCGGCAGCAGATCTCGAGGGAACAGCCCTCTGATTGAACAGTGGTAAAAATAGCATACCATTTTGGGCTGCCCAGTACCCGGTTCCCACCACTCTGCAGGCTGGGAAACTAAGGCGGAGCCCAAGTCTCCTGGAGGGTTTTATTCCACTCTCTGTGGAGTCACAAAGGAATTGGATAATGCATTGTCCCAACTCATAAAAGAGCCATCAACGGTCACGCAAATCTGAATGAATCCAGAAGAACCGGTTCTGGAAATGTTTAAGTTGTATTAAAATGTATTCCTGCAACACTATTACTGGTACTTGTATAGTCCACCTGAAATGGGGAAAGGTTTGTTTTTTCACATTCTCTTGTGACATCTTCTGGATCCACCACCACATTACATGGTTGATGAAAGGCTGCAGCCACTCAGTGCAATTTCTACTAAAATGTATTTCATGTAGCTACTATGATTCATTTATTTCAATTGTAAGTACTCTATTTGTTTAAAAAATATGACTATGACACATTTAAAGCTTAATTATTCTTGGGTTCTGTAGTTCAGTTTGGAGTCATTCAGCCTTTCTGCAGAAATTCCTAGGGTCACTGAAGTTGTAATAATTCCTAACAGACACTAGAGGCCAATAAAACTTTACTTTTGAAAAAGACATGAATGACCCCTGGAGATGATCGGTTTCCAACTAGCAACTTTAAATTTGCTAAAAGTCAGAAGCAGATTTAATTAAAGTTCATTTAAAAGTCTACAAAACTCCAGCAGGATTTAACCCAACTTCTCTTTTAAGAGCATCTCCGGCTTTCTCCCACAGTCCGAAAACATGACTGTTAGGTTGACTGGTCTGTCCAGAATTGTCCTTAGGTGTGAGTGTGTGTGCATGATTATTTGTCCTGTGTGTCTGCAATGGACTGGCTGTCTGTCCAGGGTGTACCCCGCCTGATTGCCCATTGACCACTGGAGATAGCAGCCCCCCCACGACCCTACGTGGACAAGCTCTACTGACGTCATTAGGTCAATTCTAGGGGGGCTGAAAATCACCAAGCTTCTCACCCTATCTCTAAGGGAAAGCCCAGACACCCTGCAGAGAAAACTCATTTAGGCCACTTGTATCCGCAATCTCGTTTTTTTCAGACGCTACTCGAAGCTCAGGACCGTAGATGAGGATTGGAACGTAGACTGACGGGTAAATCTAGATCTAGAATCCTTAATTTGTCATTTATGTCAGTAAAATATATATTCTTTAAAGTTCTTTTGTAAGTTTTACAGTTATTCAATGCTTATGATTCCAAATAGTAGATTAGGTTTAGAAAGTGCTTTCCAAACATGAAAAACATTTTACCCATGTGAAATTATACATGTGAGAGGATGTAAATGTGTGAAAAACATGTGATGATCTGTGTTTGACACACTTTTCCCTTGTGAATTTGCAACGTTTTCATGATAATTCTAACATCCAGCAATGGTCAGTTTTTAGGTACTGTTTGAATATTCAGCATCTGGTCAAAAAGGAGACACGAGACTGCATGTGTTCCCTTTAAATCAGCCTACCTTCATCCCACCCGCTGGAGCTCGGAGCCTCTCTGCAGCTCTGAACACATGATAACGAATCGTCAACAATGATGTTCTCTCCTTGCAGAGGTCACCACTGGCCACTAGGGTGTGCTGCGGTCAAGCCTCGAGGGTGTGCTGCGATCAAGCCTCGAGGGAAAAAGGTGTATTCACGGACATGCCGGAAGTCACGTACATGTGACGAACCCTCACTGTACATATGCTGCTTCTAATTGGGATTACTGCTGCTCAACCATCACACTGCTGTCTATCCATGCTACTGTTCAACTTGTATCTGTAAGTCTTCACCTGCTTGCTCAGCTAATGTAATGGTTACATTGTCGGTATACACGCTAAGCCGTGCTGCATTCATTTACCCATTTTGTCGCATTGCTTAGCTTTGGTCTTCAGGCCATGCTGCTGATTCATGCTGCCGTTAGCTTCTGCTCACTCAGCTTTGTATGTCGCCACAGGGCTCCTTCATCCTTGTCAATAAAACCATTTGACATCGAGGAGTGTATTTCTTCACTCCTCAAGGTCCAGCTTCCCTTGTCATCCTACAGGATTCTTCATGCCTTTGAATAAGTGAACACTCGCAGCTCGGATCAGTTGCTAAATCAAATAATGATTTCCTAAATTAAATATGAACTTCTACAACTTATAAGCTAGATAATCATTAAATAAACATTTTTTTATTGCTATGTATAATAATTATAACGAATTGCTTTCATTAATCTGTGCTCAATGATTGAAGTTTGAAATGAATGTTATGTTATGATTACAGTGATTGAAATATGTTTCAGCATGTTTATATTACAAGGTCATCACCATTTGCACTCACACAAGAACAAAGTAAGGTTAAGTTAAACTTATGACACATAAATAGTCCCTTACCCCAGATCAGAGCTTCCGGTATCAAAGAAGGCGTGTGTTTCTGAGACTCTTGGTATTATTCCTCAAAGTTGTCAACCTCTGGTTGGCTACACAATCATAACATGAGAACATTAAAACTGGATCACACTCATGATTCATCAGTTCTAGAGAAACTTCAGACAGGCCATCTGAAGCAAAACCTCTTCAACCATCAACGCTTTTGACACCTCATCAAAATCTTGTTGCACCTGCAAAGCTGATAAAGTAAACGGTTCCTGCAGAACAAGCTGATATTGTTTAGACTCCTTAAGAGCCTCAGACACGCGGTTCCGTTCATCTGTCGTTAGGGCTGTCGCGGTTGAGGAATTCCCCCTGCGGTGATTCAGGGTGGCTTAATATTGCGGTGTGCAATATTATTGCAGCCCTTTTTTATTGCAGTACTATCTAAACATAATGTTTACACATTTAAAAAAGATTAAAATTTGTCGTTCCTTCGTCAATAACACTTTACTGAATGCAGATCAAAGGGCAGTAACAACACAGATTGCAGTAACGTTTGTTTCTCCGACAGTCGGAGTCCGACTGAACTTAAAAACAACAAAATTCAGGAGGTTAAACTTTTAAATGCAAATTTGGCTGCAGCATTTAACAAATAAGAAACAATTCCCCATTTTGTTTAGTTGTTTAAAATCAAGCATAAAAAATTACATGTACCGGGCGCGCGCGCGCCGGGGGCGGGCGCACTATCATTTCACTTTCACACACACGAATGACGGTGATTTATAGCTCGGTCACGTCCTTATTACCCACAAGGAAAACCAGCATGTTAACCATATACGGTTTGAGAGAGGATCTGAGAGGGGTGGCAACATTTCCAGCAACACTGAAAACCCTCTCGGATGGTGCGCTCGTTGCACTAACGCACACGTACTTGCGTGCGACTGGCGAGCAAAGGGAATCTCTCCCGGTTGTTGCTCCACCATGTCAGGGGGGTTTCTTTAGGGTGGATGCATTCCTCCTGCAGGTAGCGAGTGAGATCCAGCTCGGCTCAAACTCTCTTCGGGACGGTTGCAGAAGCAATGCTTGTCCGGGACTTCAGCAGGTCTCCGAGCGTTTATTTATTTATTTATTTATTGCCGCTGCAGCTCTGTCTCGGCCAAGGACTCTGGCTGTGCAGCAGCTGACGTACTGAAAACCAAAGTGCTCCCAAAGGAGCGAAGTAACGTTTCATTTTGATACCAGTGCAGCCATCCTTCTCAACATGCATCATTGAGTTGAACCAAGTTCAGTAATCGCGGTGGCGCATGATGCAGCGCGGTGGGCTTCTTCATATTGCGATATTTAATTTTTGCGGTTACCGCGACAGCCCTATCTGTCGTGACCCGAGACATCTCTGGACTGAAGTGTCGGTGCCACAGTACTCTACAGCCCTTCGATGCCAGAGGTCAGCCGACCTCTCTGACCTTCGGATCCACCAAGAGGGTCTCTGAAAATGGGTGAAGTAGATAGCATCTGATGTGCTTTTAATAATCAACTTTATAGCTTAACACAAACCAAATTCTTTCACATCCAGAACTCAGCTCTCCTAGATAAAGAAGTTCTGACTAACACCGCATTCACACACAGGTTTCATACATCATATCTAGTTCCATCAATCACAGTAAATGCTTAGTTAACCTGTCATGTTTTAATGGTTGGTAAACTAAATTCTTACTTTTATAAACCTGACTGTTTTCTGAATCAAAACAAAGTGTTTACAATCCCCTAATAAATAACGAAGCCTAGAATCTTCTGATAAACACAGTAAAGACCAAGCAGGGTTGATATTCTATATTTAGATAGAGTATCACAGCTTATTGGTCATAAGTAGAGGTAATATATATATTGAGCTCTTAAAGCACTCAATTTACCAAGCCTACATAATAAAGTTTTGAATCCTGCAGATGTTCACATGTGAAGCCCTTGGGACGACATGTGAACCACATGTGAACACATCTTGGTACTACATGTGTTAAGTTCTTTCTGTCTTGCTTTATATCCATTGTTTTTGTGTTCTTAATAATTTTTAAAAGGTAAACAACATTTGCTATTTTGTGAACACAAAAACAATGGATATTGTTACTATGTTCTTCACACGGGATCACGTTATCCTTGGTGAAGAACGTGTACAAGACATGTTTTTTCTATAAGAGGTGTAAGTTTTTCTAGAGTGAAACACATATTTCTCTTTAAATATTCCAATAATTTAAAAAAAACATTCCCTTTCCCCCCACAGGCATTAGAGGCTTATTGTGTCTGTCAGAAATCAGTTCACCATATTGACTGTCGTCCCGTTGAGGCTAATGAATAAGGAAGTTTAGGATCACT